CTCTTGCCACAAACTCTTTAAAGTGCAAAAATACGATCTGTACTCAATTTTGTTACTATCTCAAAAAAATTCTCAAACTCTTGATGTTGACAGTACAGTAAAATTTAAGAACCACGAGCTTAAAACAGAGTTACAGTACCATAAGGGTAGTTATGATTTTCTTGTCACGCAAGATGGAGGCATTTAAATGGAAGGAGGGAAACTTGCAGAGAGACATTTGTATGGGGGTGCTGACAGTCACACCTTGAGGCTGATAGCTGCTGAATAGGAGCTGTCAAGGCTGGTAAATGGTCAGAACCGCAGACGAGGGAACTGTCACGCTCGCCAGGCACTTCTTGACCTCACTCATTGGGAAAGGTCGGAGCGGGCGGGGAGAGCCCAACCTGTTCTTTACAAGGCTGGGAGAAGGAGGGTGGGAACTGTGCTTAAATACCATGTCACCGGCAACCTTGTCATGATTTATATCTCAATAATCCTCTATCTTTCTGTCATAGAAGCACAGTGGCAACTACCTCACATTCTGTGTTTGTGTACATAGACGGAAAGTGGTCTTCTCTTTGGATCTTGCCAAGTAGAGAAGGAGGGTGGGAACTGTGCATAAAATACCATGTCACGGGCAACCTTGTCAAGATTTATATATAATCTCAATTCCTCTACCTTTCTGTCATGCAAGCACAGTGGCAACTCTCGTACCTGATATTCTGTGTGCATAGGCAAGTCTTCTCTTCAGAGCTTTTGAAGAAGAGAAGGAGGGACTGGGAACTGTGCTTAAATACCATGTCACCGGCAGCCTTGTCAAGATTTACATCTCAATTCCTCTACCTTTCTGTCATGGCCACGGAAAATTGTACCAGTATATCATATGATCACAATTTCTAAATAACCGTCCACTAATTCTGGGCATTTTTGCCTGGCAATAGGATTTTGGCTGCTTTTTAAATAAAGTCGTAATGAAAAAAAAATTGAACTCTTCAATCACACATGAAAGAATTAAGCAACTGGGAGAACTAAATTCAAAGGAGAATAAAATGTCTCAGGCATCAATTCACTCCTGTAGGAGGCAACATGTGGCAAGTCTTTTTCTCCTTCACTTAATGTTCATTGACTGGCAATTACTAGTGACAAAGTGCTCCTGAGAGGGGAATCTACCAATACTTAGGCTCATCACACTTCATAATGTGTGTCACCCTGGCTCTTCCCACTGCAAATACCTGTTATCTTAAGACACTAACTCACTGTACAATACCTTTGATGTTCAAACATTGACACTCGAAGGTGTTTCTAATTACATGCCATTAGATACAGAGAATGAAACACTTTGAACTAGGGCTGCGTACCTAAACGTAACATCAGGTACAGGTACAGGTACCGGTACAGAGGTTTAGGTACAGGTCCGGACCTGTACCTGTACCTGAACAATTTGACTCGGCAAAATACAGACACAACACAAAAGCAAAAAAGGCCGCCAAAATGGAGGGAAGGGAAAATGACTGACCTCTGACCTGATTTGAGTTTGTTGACCAATCACAACCATGGATCAGCCACACTCTCGCGATGTCTCGTGAGACTGAGGATCTCAAATCAATCGACGGTGTTTACTTCTTTTCCAGTGCTAATTTTTCGTCTTTGTGGTAGGATTGTAATATTTAGTCATATACATGGTGTAAACTAGCTATTTCGGTATATACTCGTTACTTCATGATCCGGTATTTTGGACCTGTACCGAAATGATTTTTACGGTATTGGACCGGTACAGTGTACCGGTCCGCAGCCCTACTTTGAACTCATTGTTACATAGTTAACCTTCAGTATGCTGAGATAGCCATTTGCTTCCAAAATTGTTTGTTATGGCATACAACAGCAGGAAGAAGGTTAATGCTATATAATACCATTACAGCAGAGATTTGATATTCCACTCCAAAAGGTTGGAGGGGGAAAGTAGGTAGTTCAATGCTTCTACTGTAGGTTCAACCTGAAAGTCTTTAATTTTTAAAATTCATCAACCTATGAATGGAAATGGCTGTACACAGCACAGTGTATTGGAAATTTAGAAATTCTTCATTTATTTAAAACGTCTCGGTCAAGAAAAATCCATAATGGTACCAAAAACGTGCACTGAACAGACTGCCAACTCTGACTTACCTGTATCAAATAGAATTCACTTTAATTGACCCACATGACTGTATATTTCAGCTAGAAGAGGCCAGAGGGTTGAACTTCACTTTTGCAGATATTTTAGCCTTGAACGCCGCTATGCATGATTTATTCAGCTAGCGAATCAGCAACAAAGTGTTAAGTTCTAATCCGAAGGGACCTAATCAACGACTTAGCATGGAGGGACCTTAGACAAGACCTTCCGTGAAATGTGGCTTGTCATTAAATCTTTGTTACAGAGGGACGATCACAAAATCCATTTTGATCAATTTTCTCTCTTTAATACGTCACAAATATGGTTTTCCATGACTCAGGTGATACAGAAGGAGCCTTTAGTTAATAAAGGAGACACAATTGGGTTTACATCTTCCAAATCTTTCTGATAGTCTATTTGCTTGGTTAAGAATTAAGGCATATACAAAATGTATATGGTACTCGGAGTGTGTTTGTTACATCAATTGGCATTGCAAACATTTTTCACAATTCCAAAATTTTCTGGGCCAAAAAAAGCTGCCCAGTAGTGTACCTGTGGTTCCCATGAGCACACACCCAATTAGATGTATCACAGCAAAAATCACTTTTTTTACTGCCAAACTATAGCATCCTCTGCAATTTTAGTTGCACTTATACAAATCACCTCCCAAATGCATGTAGTTTGACCTCTGAAAGTACACCAGGTCCGATTCCCAAGTCTTAAACCATGCACGGAGGAGGTTTAAAAAGAAACCCCTCGCACGCTCACAGTGCATTTGCTGTGAAGTAAAAGGTCTGGATCTTCACCTCTCCTTTCTCATCTCTTTGCCCCTCCCTCTTTGACAACAAAACTGCTTTACCTTGACACTTTAGAGCCCGCAGGCAGTCCATTTGCAGTCCATTTGTTTGAGGATGACCCTGGGACAAAGTGATTGACACACGGACTCACCCCAAATTTAGGAAGGCTTTTCATGAAATCTTCCCTGCACATACACTAAAGCTCACTGGTATAATGTGGTTACCCCTCCAGGCTTTCCATGTGGATCAATTCTAACCATATTCTCAAAGCTCAAATGTTGTCGCAAAGGTCTAAGTTGGGGGACCTTCTCTTATCAACCTATCTATTTCATAACAACATGTGCCAGGATCGCCCCTTTATCCAATAGTACAGGGCAAAGAAGGTATGTAAAATTTCATTACTGATACATGACATCAAACTAAATCCTACAACTGGTTATCAAGAATAATACAGATAAGATTATAATACATAAATAAATATCAGACTCGGCATCTATACAAATCTTTCATCTAATCATGCATCCTCTGATTTTACTTGTAAAGGAGATTCCCCGCATCAGCCTACAGATACTGTAAATAACTCATTTTATTTTGAGGAGACTTCATTTTGTGGTATCGGGGCAAAGAAGTTCTCATGATTCAGGCACAATTAACGACTGACAGAAAATCAGCAATATTCCCAGTGCGAAAGTAGAGAGGTCACAGCAAAAATATACCACAAGCATTCAACCACCTGTTATGATGCCATTCTTTTTACCCTGTACAATTGTTGTGAAATAAAGTTATCTATCTGTAACGTTTTACAGGGCTCGAAATTCATTTTGGGAATAGGTGCACTGGTGCACCCAACCTAACACATTAGGTGCACACAAAAAATTTGAGGTGTACCATGTGAAATAAAATAAGTAGAATGTCAGCAAAAACTAATTATGTTTCGTTTCTAAAGAAAAGTAGTACAAGGATGATTTTATTATTTACTGACAATTAGATGTTACGAATATGCTGTATACATTTAACATCTTGACATGCATATACCTACAAAAATATTTGGGTACACTGGTGCACCCACAGAGAAAAATTGGGTGCGCAGCTTCAAATTCAAATTTTGGTGCAGGGGCACCCAGTATTTTGAGCCCTGGTACTCTGAAATTGCAGACTTACCTCACAAGATGTGATACAGGAAGACAAGATGTCTGAAGGTGAGAAGTGCTGGCAGGGATACAGGCACTGCAGAACGAGAACAGGCATGGTGGTTAGTACTGCACACTCAACCTGTCAATATTGCACATTAACACTGCACTTGGAGGCAGTTTCCCTAATGACGGGATGAATGAAAAGGAGCAAGGTGCCAATATTCTTCTAGGAACTCTCGATTGATATTAAGTACAGGTTCACCTGAAACATAAAATGGTAGTACGGGTATAACAGATATCCAGGTAGAGTCTGGCTCAATGTTTTCCTGATCACTAGAAATACATGTAAAAAGCCTCAAAAACATTGCGTAAAAAACTCAGAACCTTTTGCTGAAGGTCACACATCAGTACTGATTTCTAATTTTGGTCCTTCTATCACCAATAAAAACTGTAATAAACTAGAGTTCCACGATCTCATACCTTCGCCAAATGATGTTAACCTTAGGCCTTGAAGAATGTTGACGATTTGCCTTAATTATGCAAATTAGGCATTCATTTGGATAAAGACTACCTGCCAATGTTCTTCTTTACAATTATACTGAACAATTATACATGCCACACGTTTGAATAATCATATCATGGAAAGTAGCAGATTTATAGCATTTCCTCATTCATTATGCTAATTAGCTACTGATATGCATAACTATCATTTTCATATGTCAAGCAATCTTTAAGGTACCCACATACCAAAAATCATGATGATCCGTCAATCGGTTCTTGAGTTATCCTCCTTCAAATATTTTTCAACGAATGCTTCTGCAGTTCCAGAATAAGCCACTAGGGGGTCCAAACCCATGTCACTTCTTCCCCAGCTAAAGAGCTACCTAGTATCCAAATTTAGTGACCCTACCATGTCCAGATCACGAGATATCAAAACCGGAAGTTCAGCTGCAGTACCATAACAAGCCACCAGGGGGTCCAAAATCTAATCAGTTCCAGGTCTCATCAAGACCTACCCACCTACCAAATATAAAGACAATCCATATTAGCCTTCTTGAGTTATCGTGTTGACACACACACACACAGACACACGAACGCCAACAAAAACATAACCTTCTTGGCGAAGGTAATAATTGTATGTTGAAGTGTTTGATATCTTTATATCTAACATGTTTCCATGGCAGCAGATGTATAAAATTTGGCCTTGAGCAAGTTCAAGTTGAAGTAGCCATGAAATTTATGCGGGCTGCCAAACCTTTTTATAGACGGATGTCTCCCAGTCCCTAAAGTATAAACAGTAAAAAGACTCCATATGAAAACTATCTTCTCTCCCATCTTTGCAGACTTAAAATATTAATGGGATTTTTGACAGCCACTTTCCCTCTGAATATTTAGATGGCACAACTGCTAAGGTTAAATGAGCCACAAGAATACCCAAGTGCTATCTTTAGCAAGAGATATGCATAATTGATTAGACATAGCGAGGACCATTATACGTCAAATTCCATCATGCTAAAAGGATAAATTCCCATCTGATTATCATTAAAGACAATTTGCTGTCCAATTAACTATAACCCTTCACATAGCGCTGCTAATGAGCAATTAAGAGATGTTACAAGCAAGACAATCTAAAGGATGATCATTCACTACATGGAAAACTCAGCTGTCAAGCATACATGTTTTCTACCTGTTTTTAAACTGTCTAGTCAAGTGTGGTGTACTTGGCGTGTTAAACCGGCCTTCACCCTAATACAGAAGGACTGACAGAGGCGTGTTAGCTACCACGGACTACAAGGGAGGCATTGTCCCAACTGGAAACAATTGTTTGCTGAGTCAACTCCTTTTCCCACCTTCTTTCTTACTTCTGACAGGTGTGTAACCATTGCCTGATAAGAAGGACAGGATCCATTTGAAGCTATGGGTTTGAGTTTGTTTTTTCTTGTGTGACAAGATTGTAACTTGGTTAGGTATTTGAGTCTGGCTATTCTGACTATAGTTGCCCTCCTAGCATGCTGATATACCCTCTGACAGTGGAATTGTGTAACACAGGCTAGGTGTTCAGGTAACCTACAGTCTCTTCAGGAACATTGAAGCATTGCTAACATGGTTCATCCATTTGTGCTGACTGTACAGTCTGAAAATAGAAACCGGACTGGGGGGTGTAATGCTCACCTAAGTAACCTGACACACCTGAGGCTTGTTCTCACCTGGTTGCCCTTGCTTGGGGCCTAACCATTATAGTTCTGAACAGGGGGAGACTGATTTATTGAAAAACAGCAAATTTAGGGACTAGAGGACAAAACTGTAACTTCAAATTCCCCAACTCTCTCCTATATTCAAAGTCATTGACCAAATTACCCAAAACTCCTCTCATCCCTATCTTAATTCTATTTACTTGGAGTTGGCGTTCTCATAAAGCCTTCATTGGTACACATTCTGTATCCAATGTCTATAAAGAATATGATTGCTTTATAATTCTTCACTGCCGAAACAGCTTAAGGCAGACAACATGAGAAAATGGTACTCCCAAGATCTAGACTGTATTTGGAGAGCTGCCAGTAACACTATCTGTTTTCTTCCCTGTTCTGAAAAGCGAGCAGGGTTGAGAGAAACTGTTTTTCAGTGCCATGAAGCAAGGAGCTGCTGACACAAGTCTTGTTTTCCTTTCTTTGTCTCCTGCCTTTGTGGAGAGAAAAGCTAGACTGTAAGCGGCTTGGTTGTTTTTATAGGCTGCGTTACCACATGCAGACAAAGTGTAATTGGAAAACATGCTGTCAAAAAAGACCTGAGCTAGTCTGGGTACCTGCAAAAGAGTTTTTAAACATCTAAAAACATTTTAAAATCTTTTATCTTTATACCATTTGCTCACATGTTTATTTCAAAGATCTATTTCTTAAAAAGGTTAACAGGTGTCTATGTTCAAATTTACTGTCCTCAACATCACAAAATTTAAGAAATTTCATTCATTCCATTCCACCATTTAGAGTTCTCCTGTTCATAGACCAAAAATGTCTTACAAAACATATAAAACTTGTTTGGTGGAGCCATTGATGTACGTGCAGTATTTTGAAAAGCCCCAGAGGATTTGCTACTCACAATCCCATCATCCCTTCCTACGAGAGGTAAATCCGTCTCATATAAGCACAGCATGACTTGTCTTGCCATCTTCTCTATCCACAATGTAAACCTGTCCCCCGGCTACAAAACACACTGGGTTGACATCCTGTCAGTGTTGATACCTGCGCGATAACGGTATCCAATACTTCTTTTGCCTGGGGTGAAGTATGGTTGCCACGCTCTGCTACCCCGCCAAGGCATCAAAATTCACCGTACAAAAGCCTTCCAAGAAAAACTTGCTATCACATGAAGAACTTTGGCCTCGGTTTAAGATTTCATGATGATTACAATGTTCATAGCTGGAGTTAGAATCTACTCCATCAGAGCTTCAAGGTATCTTTATTTGTATCTAAGAAATAATGTGTCAAACACACAGCAACAGTATATTGTAATTGGAAAGTCTTAGAGTGCTGAGTGTGGTACAAACTACCAAAGAAGACAAAGCAGCAAGTGTCAAATTGAATCGTGGCCACTGGAAAAAAGGTAACAACACTACAACATGTAGTGTAACAATTGTACTGATTATTCTGCCTAATTCTAACAATACAATAAAAATCTATTCTATGGAAAAAAATGTTTAAAGCAATATGATCTCTAAGTCAAAACAAACGATATCAAAACAGCTCATCATTGAAAATTGAAACAGTCCTCATGCTATCCCTTTGAATGGTATATAACACAGCTGTGTCCTTTATAAAACTCTCAAATGTGAAGACTAAAAATATCCAAGTACCCACCAGTCATTGAGGTTTGACCCATCAATTATCAAACTGACTTAACTGTGCCATGTTCCGGGGTGTAAAACCTCATTCAACTTGTTTATCAAACACTTCAACACCTCCAACCCCAGGCTGTTCAAATATCCCTTTTCTCCTTTTCTCTGCCTGCTAATTTTTGAAGTAGCCAATTGGCAGTCCCCCAATTTGCGGTAGGCTTCGAGGAGGCTTAAAAATAAATTGTGCAGCACAAGTGAAGGCTGTGGCCATTCAGGATACACCAGCAAATTAAGCACTAAAGCATGCATACATGTACAAATGTACAGGCACCTGTCACAGTCACAGTCTTGTATCTGCCAAGTGCTTTGAGGACAAAAAAAAGTTTCAACAATATATCAGAAACAAATATTTCTGTTTACTTTGATTGTCACCATGTTTACTGATGTTGTTTTGATATTTCTGGAGAAAAACTTGACTTTGGTAACATTACAAAAGATATCAATTCACAGTAGCTAGAACACCAAAGAAAGTTTCTTGTGTCTGCATGCTCATGTTTTCAGCTCTGCCATTGGCCATCCTCTTGTTCCAACCACCTGCTTGCTCAAAGCGGCATGTATGATTTAAACCTGGAATCTTTCCACTTAGTCACCCTTCTTTTGGAATGAGGATATGATAATTTGATAAATGTCTGTCTCTCTCCTTCAAGGTCACACCATGATTCCATACCACACTACAGTGGGCACAATCATTCAATTTTCCTCCTCTGATTTGGCCAACTGCCCAGAGAAAATGGACGCCCACTCAAAATCACATCAATCTTTCTCCAAACATTTCCAACCTTATTGTTATCTGCCTTCAGATGGAAGTTATAGGACCGAGGGAACCATTAGAAAACTCATACATATACATTCAGAACTTGGCAGATGGGACAGACACTCTAACTTTACAGCAGATGTAACAGGATATGGTATCTTATCCGCACAAGGAAATAGATTGTTCCTCTTCACTACTTAACCGTGGTGGCAGTTGGTCTACTTCCATAAGTAACTGCCATATTTCTCGCGTGTGGAAATAAACAATTACCGTCGACTGATGCACCACTGCATAAAGATGTCAGCAAGTTGTGCAGCAACCATGCAAAGTTGTTGTAAATTTTCATAGCCTAAGTGCGAGAAGATCCAAAACTTGATCTGAAGTTACACAAGACAAACTGTATCACTTTCTACTCAAAAGATAAAGCTACGAACATTGAAATAAAAGCTTTAACTGTAAATAATCAAAC